TAAGATGTAATCAAAGTGATAAAAATAAAACAGTTTGGCTACAGTCTTTCTTTCCAACAATTGGTGGAAAGAAAACTGAGCTATCCAAGATTTTTCTTCTATGTATTTTTAATAGCTGCACTCAAAGGGAAGAAGAAACAGCTGGATTTCCCACATACCTTTGGCAAACAACAGTCAAGGAAAACAGAGGACGTGAAAGGCTTCTATCAAACCTGGCAGCGCTCTGTGCTGCTGTCCCTTTGCTGTTTGTTACTCTTGTTGACAAGATAGCTCAATGGGTTGGCTCAATGAGAGGGAGCTTGTGAAATTGGTCTGCCCTTGCAGGCTTCTCGGCCCAGAAAGTTTTCAGGAGACCTTGGGAGGGTATCCAGCTGAGTTGGTAGATGATCCTGTCGAAGGCCAGGTTGACCGATGGGACTTAAGAGACAAACTGGGCAGCTGATACAATCGCCCCCAACCACTCTCTCTGCTTCAGAGCTTGCTTGGTCCCTTGGTATACCGAGGGGCTGCAAACTATGACATTAGCTAGGGGATAGCTGGAGAGTGGATGGCATCAGTGCAAAATTCAGCTGCTGTTTAAGAACGTGAGCAGTAGGTACAGTAACACCTTAGAAGCAGCAAAAAGGCCTTTGACATCAGGATTATGAGTGAGGCTGCAAACTGACAAGGACCACTTTTCTGAATGGTTTGCGACTTCACCAACTGTGGTCTATAACATCTGCATTTTGACTTCTCTTATAAATCCATTTGCAGCCTTTTTAAGACAAAAAACTGAGGCCATTCAAGCTGATCCCAGCTCCACCAACAGTTTGGCTGACTGAGAGAGGACCCCCGGTGCACCCTCTCTGTCAGCCCCTTTGGTTCAGTTTGACCCTGTAATACTGGAGGAAGTGTCTAGTGCTGGTTAGCTGTAGGCCGACTACCTCTGTACTTTGCGCAGCTTGGCTAATGAAAGCTACGAGCAGGACCATGGTGGATTATTGGGTTGCAAATATTGTCCATGCATCACTGAGGGAGGGACTTCTTCCCTCTGGGGTAAAACAACAACAACATCATTTGACCCATTATGGAATGTCCACAATTGGCGACAGATGACCTTAATAACTTTGGTTATTGATGACATGCAACTCTTACCTCTCCTTTACCACTTCTGCGGTAGAGGCTGTCCACACTCTAGAGCAGTGGTGTCGAACTGTGGCAGTGGAGGCTGTCCAGACTCTAGAGCGTTGCCTGGTCTCATTACTGGAATGGACCAGGGCTAACAGGCTCAAACTGAACCTGGACAAGACAGAGATTCTGTTCTTGGAGGGCCCTCCAAAGATAAGGGGGTTATCCCTAGACTGGATAGCGCTGCCCTCCTGTTCAGGGATCAAATTCATAAATTTGGGCATTCTTCTCGACCCAGCTCTTCAGATCGTAGCTGAGTCCAGATCAGAGCTAATGGAGCAGTATATAAAGTAAAGTAAAAAATAAATTAAATAGCTGATTACAGACCCAGAGGTATATAGTTTGATTTCTCCAATGCGCCTTCTGGGAGAAGAGCCAGCCTGCACCGCTTTTGACAAGCAGCACAGACCCAGAGGTGTCCCCAGAAGAAGGAAACTTCAAACCTCTTCTGAGTACCCCATACTAGAAAACCTCTGAAAAGTCAGAATCCACTTGAAGCACATAACTACAATTAAAAAAACAAGTCTCTGTTCCATTAGCACGCGCTCACATCCCCTTCTTAAAAACTGCTAGATCTTCCAAAAATGACAGGGAGGCTTGTAGCACCATAAAGACTGATTGATATGGGTGAACAGATACCCCTTCAGGATTCTCCCATAAGAAATGAGCCCCCTGTTACTGCCTGCCGCCCGTCGCCCACAACTAGAGTGTTGAATTAGAACTCAGAAGCCCCCCACTCAGTCATGGAAAAGCACTGGGGGAGTGGGAATTGATAAAACAAACCCTTAAATGTCTCACTTACCTGGAGAGCCATATTGGAGTCACTGTGTAAATCGGTTGCGACTTGACGGCACAGAACAACAACAACAACAACAACCCCATCAAATCAAAGACTCACGCTTCGTCTGGCGGGATTATTTCCAGCAACCGCGTGGCTAATGCAGCCGCCTCGAAACCAGCCTCGATGCTCCTCGTCCTCTTAGGACGATTGACTTTTCCTTCACTCTCCCTCCGAGACGTCTTGCTCTTTTTAGCCGGGCGACATTCCAAAGAAACAGCACAGGCAGGCAGGCAGGCAGGCCCGCCATGGGATGCCCCGGACTTAGCCTCGTCCGCAGCTCGAAAAGCTCCGCGCCCGCCGCCCTTCGAATCTCGCCGACGCTTTTCGCCCGCGCGGGGGCTTTACCAGAAGGCTTCTCTGACGTCACCGGCCCCGAGCCCGCCCCCCTCGCTTCTCCTCTCCTCGGCTGTTCGCTCGGCCCTTCCCTCCCTTATAAGGACAATGGGCCGCGCATGCAAACGAGCTCGATTGAGGAGAAAGCGAGCGGGCCGTGGGAACGGCGCATGCGCACATGCGGCTGGAAGTTAAGCCAATGATTCCAGACCTTGCATCTCTCCAGACACCGGAGCGAGACAACGAGGGTTGCGTGGAGAGGCGGGGGAAGAGAAGGTCGCGCCGCGCACACACACAACCCCACCACGCGATTGATTTGTTGGAGGTAAATCCTTTGCATGTTTGTTTTCACCTCGGGAAATATTGCGAGCGGGTTGTTCTTTGCAATAGCGGCCGCAAATGGGAAGCACGAGTTTTGACAAGTTTTCGAGTCGTGCCTGCGCGTTTTCCACACAGGTTGATTTAAAAAGCAAACTTGTCCCTTTCGAGGGAGGGGGCGGGGGCGGCTCTTTTTATGTCCGGGAAACAGTTGTTTATGGATTGGAAAGGTTGGTGGTCTACCAGGTATGGTGATCTGTGATGCACTGGTGATTCGGGAGGGTCATCCATTCGGGAAACGGGGGGAAGTTGGCCGCTGTGGTGCCAAAGGCTGGGTCGCATTGTTACAGGTCGAGCATGTGGCCCGTGACTTTTTTTTCCTTGCAGAAGAAAGACACTTGCGGAGTAACTTGGTCGTCATTTCAAAGCCGATTACTCGATAGATCGTAAAGGGAACCTTAGAAATCACGACCGAGGCTGCCCTCGTTCGGCGCACTTACTTAGGAGTAAGCCTTGTTCGACCTAATGTGACTTGCGGCTGAGTAAACGCGTCCTAGGGCTGCACAGCGAACGCGTAAAGCAGCGGTTCCGATCGTGGGCCAGCAGACTTTTGCTTCAAGTTGCTTCGTTGTTGTTGTTGTTGTTTTCCCCTCTTTAAATTGCCCTCGAGGCAACGGTTTTGAAGCGCGATGCAGCGCGGACTCCCCTTTCCTTGCACTGCGGTCCCGAGGAGGTTAGTGCGCTTCCTCTGGAGCAAGAGAAGTGAGCGCGACCCTCAGCAGGCGGCGAAGCATCGGCGGTTGCCGGCGGAGCGGAGGCGGCCGGGTTGGTGTTGTCCGTTGCAGCTATGGACGCGGGATTGGCGACAATGGGAAGGCGGCGTGGGGGGGGCGGGGAGGGGAGGAGGAGAGAAGGTTTGCCGCAAAATCCCTCGCGGCCGGCGGCTAAGCCCGGCTTCGAGCCTTCGGAAGGGTCGCGCCGCCAGCGTTCCATTTTCGAACGTTCCCCGGGAGTCTCCACAAAGGCGAGACTTCATACACCTGTAGATCGGGGCGGCGGGGGAAAAGTTGCGGGAGCGGAGAACGCCAGGGCGGTGTGTGTCACTCTCCCTTTCTTTGGAGGGCCGGAACAAGACAGCGGGAGGGCAGCGCGGGAGAGGTTACCTGCAGGCGGCCGGCCAGTCCGAGGGTGCGTTCTGACCTGGGTTGCAATCTCTTTTGTGTGTATGCGGAGCTGACGTGACATGTGCTGCTCCCTTTACGCAAGTCCTCGGGGTTTTTTTCAGCGTTTAAAAGTCGTTTTTTTAAAATAGCTGCAAACTTTCTCTTGACCGTCGGACCTGGGGGGGGGAGGCTTTCTCCTTCCAGACAAAACCGGCGCGAGAAAGCGCCGCATTCTTTGCCTGTCTAACTTTGATCTCAACTTCTCAACTGCCACCTCGCTGCATAGCTGTCCCTCCCAGTTTGTGCCATTTGATCTTGTTTTCCTCTCAGGTGGTCGAGACGGAGTCTCTCTCTCTCTCTTCCCCCCCATCTACCGCAGATTTTTACACGCATCAAATAAGTTACGCGCTCTCTAGATTCCACTATGGAGGATCAGGGCTACCCTTCTTGATCGCACGTAGGCGAAGGCAGAGGCGGCCGCGAAAACAAAGGGCTTATATAGAGCATGTGGCTGTTGAGCTTTCAGGCGGGGGGGGCGGGGATCGCTCTCCTTACACACGATCCCAGTTACAGAGGAGATCGAAGGAAGGGAATGGGGGCGGGGGGGGGGGGCGACAATCTTCGACTCCCATATCTCAGCTGCTCCTGGAGAGTTCCCTCCCTTCTATTCTTAAGGGTGAAACTTTAGCTAAGCGCCCACCGCACACGGTACCATGCGGCGAGCCTGGGAGGAGGAGGAGGAGGAGGCGTGTTTTAGGTGTCTCGACAGGCAGGAAGCGCCTTGCCCTGGACTGAGGAGAGCGGGTTGTTGCTGAAACCACAACACACACAAACACACAGGCTGCTTCCCCCCCCCCGCTGTTGGGTCACTGATTGGGCGGTGAGAGAGAAGGTGGCACAAAGGAAGGGATCCGCTTTGCCCGCTGGTGCTCTTTTTTTTTTCTGCGCCTTTCGCGCTCCTCGTGTGCGCGTGTTTATGGGAGGTCTCTGGTCGACCTCGCTTAGAAGTCGGAACTGTTGCCATGTTTGAATTACGTCAGGGCGAAGCCGTGAGGAGGGGGGGACCCGCTCTTGAAAACACCGCCCGCCGCGGCACATCGTGCGCCCACCCGCACAATGCAGACCAGCGGGCGATCCGGCGGGGCGAGACCCGGGAGGACGAGGGCTTCTCAGGAAACGGCACTGATCCTGCGGAGGGGAAACCTCCGGCTCGACTCCTTTGTTTGGCGAGAAAGCGCTCAGGAGAGGAGTAAAGTTTCGAGGCATCGTGGAGGCTCCTTAGTTTACTTCAGGCTCCCCTTCCTTCGGCTTTAACAGATTTAACCTGTCGCCTCCATTATTATGGTGTGTGCCTTGTCCCCATAAGCTAGTCGGAAATAAGCACCTCAAGTATTTTGAATGTTTTAATGATGTGGTTTGATTTTAAATTGTTTTAAATATCTCATGTTTTAAAAATTGTTTTGCACAGCTTTGTTAACCTGCCTTGAGTTCCTGTAATGTGGGGTGTTTATGTTAAAACAAAATAAACAGATGCTTAAATAAACGTTAAGTAAGTAACGGCAGGATAGATGTCTGGCAGGAGGATGGCCTTGCGTGTGTGGCGGCAGAAAATCCATGGCGGTAGCTTTGACCCCAATTTCTCTTTCTCCCTTGAGATTACCACCCATAGCACTCAGGAGATTAAGTGGGCTCTTGGGGGGGGGATAATATCTTCCCCCTCTCCCCGCCAGGTTTGCTAAGACAAATCAATACTGGCCTGCCCTCCCCTCCCCAAAACAGGACATTTTAAATTGTGAATTTGCAAATAGAGATGTTTGATTGCCTTTACATGTGTCCTTTGATTTTGCAATGCTAATGCATGAAGGATAGGCTTACTCCAGTGGTTCTGACTTCTGGGGGGGGTCTCCGCCCTCCCCTCAGGAGTCCTTGGGTGATGCCTGGATATTAACTTTAGTGCTTTCCTCTGATTTCATTTGCCAGGTCTGGGCATTGTTGCCAGACCTTGTGGGAGTTACGGAGCTTTGAGGGTCAGAGGTAGGACAGAAGCATCCTTCCTGTATGGCAACTGAGTGCAGCTGTTAAGAATTCCCCCCCCACACACACACACATCTCTTGTCTTTAAAAACCATTCAAGAGTGCCATGCATGAGCAGAATTCCTTCCACATGGCGATCCCTGCCCTCCACCCCCTGACCACACAGAGCACTACGTCTACCTGATCCTGTTTTGAAAACTAGGTCGCTTTTAGCGGAGGTGGGTGCGGGTGGGTGGTCTTTGTTCCAGGCAAGGCTTGGCTTGTGTGCACTGGTGTGGGCTTCCTCTTGTTTGCTGATATGTTTATTGCTTCCTTGCCTGGGAAATTCTTTTCCGCTTTAGTCACTTCGGATATGGGTGTTCAGTGCTTGTATATATTAAAAGGCATAGATGGTGGCGGGTCTTCTAAACGGGACTTTTAAAGCACCTTTCTTTTCCCACCAATGGAATGCTAAGCTGAATGTGGGTAGAATGCATGTAGTAGTAATAATATGCTGACTTATGGTGACCTTTTCCAGATAGGAAAAAGTGGTTTTCCATTCGCTTCTTCTGAGGGCATCCTGGGACCATACAGCTTGCCCAAGGCCACACAGGCTGCCTCTGTTCACAGGAGTTATGGTGGGAAATCGAACTCCCGACCTCTGCCTTCACAGTCAGATACCTAAAACCACTAATGAATGGTGTTCTTCTGGCCAACATTCATGGTTTATTGGAAAGCTGTAAACTAGGTATCTAGGGTGGTAGCTTAATGCATTCTTATTGGGGATTCAGCCCCACCAAACTCCTTGGGAATCTCCAGAATTGATGCAATGTAGTGGGTAGAGTGCGGAACTGAGATCCAGGTTCAAATCTCCACTGACTTATGACATTCACTGTGAAACTGGGAGATCTCCTTCTATTGGAGGTGTTCTGTCTTGTTGCAACCTGTCTCACACGACTGTCAAGGGAAACAGGAGAGCCATTTACACATTGTGTTTATTGGAGGATTGGTGTGATAGACATAATACATAAACATGCATATATCCGAGCTAACAACCTTTCAACTTCTCTTAAGTTTGAATCACTGCGTTTCCTCGGATGCATCTATGTTGTTATCTCGGTGTTGCTGTTTTTATCAAAAATTAGATAGTTTCCCCAAGGCTTGTTTTGGCTTACAGTCTTTTGCTTCCTTGTAAACCTCTGATGAACAATAGTAAAATGAAATAATTGCAAACATGATTGTACAGCTATTTAACTTTAATGAATAACTGGCAAGCATGGATTATTTCACAAACTGCATGAATCCAGTGAATTTGATTGCTGCTGTTATCAGTGTTCTATCGCGCCTTTGAGGTTTAGTGTATCTTTTGGTCCTTATGCATTAATTCTCACAGCCATCTCTTTATGAGTCAGCAAGCAGTTGTGTGAGATCTAAACCTGAAACAGGCTTGCCCGTGACCACCCAGGAAGTTCTAATGGGCAGAGTATAGGTTATAATGAAGTGGGGCAATCTCGTGATCTTTGCAAATGGAAATGTGTGTATGTGCCAGTGGAGAATGTGTATATCTAATTATTATATGTTGTTGCAAGTCTCAGGGTTCCTAGCTAATGCCCAACTCATAATGGCAAAGCCCCTCCCTCCTCAGGTTGCACTTTGTGGAACCTCTTGTCAGTGTGCTACAGGCTACCTGATGTAATGGCTTTTGCTGCTGGTGTTTAGACCAAATTTGCAATCTGGAGGTGAATTTTTTTTTGCTGTTGAAGTTTTCCCATGCTGAGGCTCCCAAAGATTTTCCCAAGGCAAAATGAGCCCTAGTGAGGCTCAGAACCTGAAAGAGAGGATAAGAAGCTTTCAGTTAATTTAAATATTCCCATCATGTGATGATGCCGTCACCACTCCTGTAGGACATAAGTTACACCAAGAGGATTCCAGCCACTGAGGTTTGTTTCTGAGTAGGTCTTAAGGTGCATTAAAGGTTACTGAAAGACCCAATGTTATTTTGCTCCAAAATAACTCACCTGTAAGGAATTCCGTGTCCTCTACTAGAATCTGCTACCATAATGCAAAAATTCAGGGGGAAAAATTGCAGCAAGGGCAAAAGTGAGTTCCTATGTCCAAAGTTGTCAGTGAGAGTAGCTGAATATGCCATTGATTTATCAATTTGCATATTTTTTATGGCTAGTAGTTCAGGGCTATGGTTCACTCTAGTCAGTTCTAGGATACTGTAATATGAGAAGAAAACCTACAACAGAGTTTCAGATGTTTTTATGACGACCTGCCTGGTATATGTTTTGATGGAAATGCTGTTGGCCTTGTGAAGTGTGAGTCTGAGTGCAAGAGGATTATTTCTAAAATTGAAGAAATACCATTGCTATTGGTTCTCGGGCAACATCTATTAAATTTGTATTTTTAATTTCAAATGTTGGTGTCTTCCTATCAGTAAATTGGAAAAATCTCCAGTGACCTAAACAGAAAACAGATCCAGTATATTTATTTGATTTGTACCTATTACACGCCATAATTATTATTCTCTGATTCTATAGAGTTCTACATAAAAATTTTCATAGTGTACAGTTCTTGGCATTTTGTGTGATTAAAAGTTGTCTTACAATGCATTTCTTGCATTCCAGAATATAAAATATTTTATTGGATTGCTTTCTTTGCATTTCACAAATGTCCTCACTTTAAAAAAATGTTTCTAGTTCCTCTTCTCCAGCGCTCAGCCTCTCTAGGTCCAGATGTTTTTACAGCTAAGTGTTTTTCTCAGAGGTACAGGGTATCAATACTTAACATCTCCCAAGGATATGCTGCAGAGGGTTTGGCAGATGAAATGGTTCAAGGGGAGCAAGAATGCAAGTAGTTTGGGAATGTATAAGGTTCTTTTCACATGAACACAGGTCAGAGGCAGACTAGCTTGAAAACGTACTATGTTTTGGAATTAGCCCTTTGCTGTTTTATCTGGATTTGGAAGCAACCATAGATATTCAGTCCAACTTCCTACTTTTGCTTCCCCCCCCCCCCCGGTCATTTTACCTTTGAACCGGGCAGTACTTGTGTGGGCAGTACACATTGTAGTAGCATTGCTTTGATCTGTAAAACATGAATAGCCTACCATGTTTGGTTATTATAAATGAGGGAACTATTACAAAGTTCTCCGGGATATTAAAAGTTCTAGGCAACAGCATTCCAGGAACCCAGATATATCTTTTTATTGCTCTTTCCTTTGAAGTCTGTTGGCTTTTAGCGGTACTGTTTAATAGGTTTTCAAAAGAATCCTCCCTTTTAAAAAAATGTCTTTAATGCAGACTGCTGTATCTATTGCTTTGTTTTCTTTTATTATCTTGTGTTGTCCTGTGAATGATATTCAGTATTAGGTCCAGTATTAAAAGTCCAAGGAACTATCTCTATTTTCTACTCCCAGGCCAGGAAAAACACATTCCCAAAATACTCCCAGTCTTGCAGTGTAGCATATTCTGCCCTAGGCTGTTTAGTACTTCCTTCAATATAGGAGATGCTGAAGAGTTTAAATGTGAGCCAGACTTGGCTAAAGAGAGCTAAACTACCCAGCATTGACTGAATGTCCCTTTGCTTGTATTAATCAGGATGGCAAGTCACAACCACGTGGTTTTCTTTTTGCCCGTAGTTGCATCTTTGCAACAGATTATTAGGTACTTTCCTGGCATTTTGGAACACAGAAGGTTTCTTATACATTGAGTGAGACCGTTGGTCCCTTTAGCTTCTATGCTGATTAGCAGTGGCTCTCTGAGGTTTTTCCTTGGTCCCAGTTGGAGATGCAAGGGATTGGACCTGAGACCTTCTTCCTTCACACAATGTATGCATTTTGTCCACTGAGCTGTGGTCCTTCTGTATTCTACCTAGTGGCAAGGACAGGAAAGCATGAGGAATTAATTGTTTCTTGCAAGGTAGTAGAATGTGTAAGAAGCATGGTAACAAGGTGATGACAGTAGATATCCAACTCCTACTCTGGAAGGTAGGAGTTGGACATTGTTTTATCTTCTTTTTTTTCTTATACTGTATGTCCAGGATAGTAACATGATATTTGCAGAGGTCTGGGATTTGAGGCTGTGAGTGCCTCAAATCAATTTCAGCCCTCAGTATTGGCAACTAATTTAGACATTAACGTTCTTGGGAGCAAGCACCTTTCCTTGCTTTTAGCAATGAAAGTTGGGAAGGACTTCATGTACTATGAACAAATATACTTTAGTAAGTTTATACTTGTAAGAAAATGCATTTCTTAATTATGTTATATTAAGCCTAATACTTAGTTAGTTATGTTATATTAACCCTAATACTCATAAATTTAATACAAATTTATGAGTAACAGAATAAATGTCTGATAGTCAGGTTCTCGTACTTGTAAAAATGTTTTTCTTAATTATGTTATATTAACCCTAATACAGAATAAATGTCTGATAGTCAGGTTCTCAAAACATAAGTAGATCTTCCTTGGCATGTTGAATTTCTAACTGCACTTCCTTCCTACCTACCTACCTACCTATCTATGTTGGTGGGTTTTTTTTCCAATACCATTATAATTATAATTTTCATTTGTACTTGGGTTTTTTAGAGATCACTTTTCTGGATGACAGGATAGATTTATGTGCTTTTTTGAAGAAAAAAACAGATTGGGTTTTGGAGAACAAACAAGTGTCCATTTATAATGTGGTGGGGTTTTTTCCATACCATTATAATTATAATCTTCATTTGTACTTGGGTTTTTTAGAGATCACTTTTCTGGATGACAGGATAGATTTATGTGCTTTTTTGAAGAAAAAAACAGATTGGGTTTTGGAGAACAAACAAGTGTCCATTTATAATGTTTAGAAGAGATAGAAAGATATGATAGAAAGAATAAGCTCACTTTTCTGAAAAATGAGAGAGACAGCCTTGGTGATTGCCTCTTCTGCCACCTTGGAGCTAAATACATGTTGGTGCTTTTTTTAGATATATGTAGTTGGAAGCATGTCATGAACTTCCTCGTGAAGTTTTCTTAGGGTGCCATTGGATGATGGTGACTGTACAGTGGTGCTTGGATATAAGCAGAAAGGTGGGAAGGCCCTTAATGAAGTCTACAAGGCCCATGCCCTCTTTGTTCTCCAGTTTGTCCAGTCATGGCCTTAGGCAAAAACATACGTTGAGAGGGGTGGATGTGAAAGGTAAGTGGGTTGGGGCCCCATTCCCCTGGCAATTTGGGAACAGACCATAAAGTACGTAAATGCTGCTTAGCAAGGTATCAAATGGAACGGAGACAAAAAGGGCAGGCAGGTATTGACAAGTAGGAAAAAGCAAAACGAGAAAGGGCGGGGGAGTGCCATAGAAAATCTCTGACTGCAGTGGGATATACATCCTGTTTCAGAAATTCTTCCTGTGTTGTTATTGTTAGCAGCAGCTTTCACATGGCATTTTGAACAAGCTGCATGACAGCGCGAGTTCCGAAAACTTTAGTTTTGATTGCCCACCAGTTGAGTTGAGAAGATGTATTTATTTTGCTTGACTCTCCCTCTTCCTCTCTCTCTCTCTCTCTCAACTTGAAAAGTTGAGAAGATGTATTTACATATTTTGCTTGACTCTGCCTCTTCCTCTCTCTCTCCTTTTTCCTCACCATCCAAGTAGGAGCATGGCTTAGCTTGCTCACAGAATACATTCTTTGCATGCTTGAGACGGAAGGTTCACATAGTCAGTCTATCAGAGCACCTCTGTGGCACATACTTCCAGCAACTAATTGTTGTGTGTGGCAATGGTAGGTTATAATATTGTAAACACTCTTGTATCTGAATCTGTACTCGAGAACAAAGGGGTGAGCAAGATTCTTGTAACAGTGAAAAGGGGGAGTCACTGAAAAGTTTGTGGAATGCATTTTAATTATCTCCATCACTGATTGTATAAAGACTGCCTAGGGACTCCCTGTTTTTGACCGGTTAGGGAGCCTACCGTGAGATGGTATGGACATGGCTCTGCATGCACTAGCATGACTAGAAATATCTGAATAATAAAATCCAAGATGGAAGATCAAACATTTCTAATTTTATAGCTCCCACTATGTCTAAGGACAATTAGGGATGAAACTTAATATCACTGTATTATCAGATGAGCCCTATTCTGCTGGGTTTAGCCTACCTCTACCATTACATGCCAGAACAACATGCCAGATTACAAGGACTTAAGAGCCAGCCTTTTCTAGTTCTCCTTTGCTTCTTTTGGTGTTCAGATTTGTTTTTGGTCAACACAGGTGTTTCTGCTTTAGGAAAGGAAGATAGCTCTAGGGATTTCTGTATTTCAGTGGTGAGTACCTAGATGTTCTGATGTCATGACGCCACCTTCCTGGGTGTCTATTTTTGTTGCATGGTAAGTTATGGTAGAGGATGATATATAGGATCCCTTCCAGCTCTGCAGTTCTACGGTTGTTATACAATGTGCCATTTTAAAAAAATTGATCAATGAAGGTGTCTGTGGTTAATGTTACATACAGCACTGATGTTACCTGTCTGTCATGGGTTTGGAGGGAAAGTTCCATCCTATGGGGAGTGGAAGACAAAGTGCCATTTTAAAAAAAAATTGATCAATGGAGGTGTCTGTGGTGAATATAAGTCATTATAAGTTTGCTGATCTGATCTCTCTTGTTCCTTCTCCCCTCCCTTCCCTGATTTGAAGTTTGACAGTCGGAGTTGAAGCAAATGAGTGGCTCAGAAAACTGCTTCTGCAAGGCAGCTTCTTTTGATTTAATTCCTGTGGCTTAAGTCACCTTGTTACTTAAGGTGAATTTCCTGTGATGTCGCCTGCCTTGGGAGCGGAAGCAGAGAAAACAGCAGTGTTGCCAATGATTAACAGAGATGGAAATGGATCTGAGGTACCTGTCCTTAACAGGAGATGGTGTGGAGTAGTGGTTGTACATAATTTATCAGCTCCCACTGAGCGTTTTTGACTGTGATGCGGTGTCAGTTTGCGGAGTCGCATATGGAGGAGGAGGAGGCATCCTCACCGCCTTTTAAGCTTGTCCTCTGTGTTCATTTTCTGAAGATTGATCTTCTCCTGCCCTTTCCCCCCTCCCTCATTTTTTTTCATGTAGGGGAAACGAGTGAAGAAAAATGTTCGGCTTTCATAAACCGAAGATGTACCGGAGCTTAGATGGTTGCTGTATCTGCAGAGCCAAATCTTCCAGTTCACGTTTCACTGACAGCAAGCGTTATGAAAAGGATTTCCAGAACTGCTTTGGGTAAGAGCTGCAGCTGTTTCAATTGCTATGTTTCTTTAGCCCAGGGGTAGAGATGGCTTCCAGGGACGTGGCGGCCCTGTGGGTTAAACCGCAGAAGGCTCTGTGCTGCAGGGTCAGAAGACCAGCAGGCGTAAGATCAAATCCAGGCATCGCAGTGAGCTCCCGTTGCTTTTCCCAGCTCCTGCCAACCTAGTAGTTTGAAAGCATGTAAAAAATGTGAGTAGACAAATAGGTACCACCTCGGTGGGAAGGTAATGGTGTTCCGTGTCTAGTCACGGTGGCCAGGTGACCACGGAAACTGTCTTCGGACAAACACTGGCTCTATGGCTTGGAAACAGGGATGAGCACCACGCTCTAGAGTCAGACACGACTGGACTAAATGTCAAGGGGAACCTTTACCTTTAGAGACAGCTTCCCAAAGTCCTTGGAGATCTGTGCCTATGGTATCTCCAGGGGCAAAAGGACAAAAAAACATAAATCAAGTGGAATGCCTTCTAGGGATCGCAGGGGTGCATTTGGAGACCATTGTCAACCTGTTTTTGGCCTGTGAGCCCCCCCAAAAAAAACACCCCCTAAGTGACTTGGTTACACATTTCTGTTAGTTTTCTGAGCACACATTTGGGTGCTTCATCAGTTCTTACCCTATGTCGCATCTCTTTCAAAGTACCTGACTTATATTCCACCCAGAACACATCAGATCTTGATTGGTATTTGGTCAAGTTTGGTTAGGACTGAGATGGAAGTCAACACTGCCAAAGATCTTCAGGTAGGGCTAAGAAAAAAACTTACACCTTGAGAGAGCCGGATGAGTTGACAATATTGGGCTTTATAGAGCAATGATATTAATTGCTATAAGGCAGTGGTTCCCAACCTTGGGTCCCTAGATGTTCTCAGATATTCTCAGACTACAACTCCCAGAAATCCTGGCTAGCGCAGTTAGTGAAGGCTTTGGGAGTTTTAGTCCAGGAACATCTGAGGAGCCAAAATTGGGAACCACTGCTATAAGGCAACAATCTGTGTCCCTATGGTAGAAAGAATAAGCTCACTTTTCTGAAAAAGACATTTTATATCAACAAGCATTCTGTCACTGTATTTATCATTTACACATAAAATTGCATTAGCATTACTGGGAGGAAACGACTGGCTGCCTGAGGTGCAAGTAATTCATTGGTATATGAAATGGTAGTATTGAATATTACTTAGTACATAGTCTTGAATATTACTTTCACTGCTACAGTAACTGTAAAGCATAGATCATAAATTCTTAGTAAATGTTATAAAAACTTGCAACAAATACACTATACAGTGGTGCCTTGCTTAACGGGCACCCCGTTTAACTATGAAATCACATAGCGATTAACTTTTTGTGATCGCTTTGCGATGTTCCCTATGGGGTAAAATCGCTTTGCAATGATCAGTACCGTTTCGCTTACCGATCATCGCAAAGCAATGATTTTTTAACAGCTGATCGGCAGTTCCAAAATGGCCGCCAAGTAAAAAAATGGCTGCCCGCTGTTTTCTGGGACGGATTCCTCGCCTGCCAGGCAGTGAAAATAGCCACTGTATGGAGGATTTTCAATTAAAGGTGAGTCTAAAGCCCATAGGAACACATTGAAGCGGTTTCAATGCATTCCTATGGGCTTTTTAATATCGCATAGCGACGAAATCGCTTTGCAGCAATTTTTGCTGCACGGATTATCGTCATTATGTAATTCAATCCCATCAGTGGTACATGTCCTAGTTGTGAAGCACTGAGTTATTCCACAGCCCTCTCTCAGCTCAGAATGCCTCTTGCAGGCGCTCTTAATGTATCAAGTTTCCACAGACCATCCACCAAGAGCACGAGATTTGTCAAGGGTGGGACATGTTGCCTCGTTGAAATGGGACAAAGCCAAACATCTTCCTTTCTCTCTCTCTCTCTCTGCACCTGTTTCTGTACGTTTTCCTTGAGCCGAATATTTCCATTTTTAGTATGGCCAAGTAACTGAACTATGGTCTTCTCTCCACAGTCTGCATGAGGCCCGCTCAGGTGACATCTGCAACGCATGTGTGCTCCTTGTGAAAAGATGGAAAAAGCTGCCAGCAGGATCAAAAAAGAACTGGAATCATGTAGGTTCAGGTGTATCCACACTGTTACATAAATGTTGGTTCTGAGTGGACGGCACATAAGAACGACACATATTCTGAAGCAGGGGTTTGAGGAAGAGAGATTCAACATGTGTTGTATAAGTCACATGACATGGCTGCTGGTTTTTAAAAAAAAAGCTTAGAGAAATTATTCTTTTAGACTACAGCCCCCAGAATCCCTCATTCCAACTACAGTCAGCAGTAAGAGGGGCTGTGGCACTTCCTATCTACATAGAGGCTCACATAACTTGACTATCACACCATAATTTCTTTTTTTTTTTTTAAATCCTTCTCTATAGTGCCGAGCTACAGCTCCAATCAGGCCTATATAACATAGGCAGTAGAGAAGGGTTGATGGATGTTGCAGTCAAACAGCATCTGAAGGGGCCCCATATTCTCCAGCCATGGCAAAGAGTAGCATACCAAGGAAAATGCTGTTCTGGCGCTTTTGTGCCTTTTGACTGCCTGTGGGATTCTTAGGGTTGTAGTTCAAAAACACAAATCTGCATACCTCTAGTTCTTAACATCTGGTTTTCCATGGGAAAGAAGTATGTGTTGAGAAGGGTAGTTTTGATTTTGAGAAGCTCCTTTCTCAGCTTATTGTTGACCCAGGGGATTGTGGGGAAAAGAGATAAGAACAATTAAATATCTTTCCGTAATATTTTTTAAAACATGCCCTTTCAAACAGGTTTTTCCGCAGAGTGCTTTTTACCTGATACATTTAACTGTTGAGTTACAGCTATTGAGGAATGTGAGGAAACCATGTGTGACAAAACTTGCAATTTGTGTTCAGGGCCTGTCTGAAATCCAGGAGCTGTAACATTTTAATTGGTGTCAGAGTTAGGATAGGTAGCAGCACTAAGCAGTTGAAAAAAAACAGAAGTGTAATTTACCTTGTATGTGATGGCAACATTCTCATAAACTTCAGTGATTTTGATGCTGGCAGATACATTCATCTTACTGTCACATCATGTTAATGGGTGTGCTAGGTTTTTATATTGTCTTTGGTGCACATGGCTGTGTTTAAAATTTGACTTCTGGTGGATCTTCCCTTTCGATGTATGCAAATTCAAAGTATATTATACAAATAGCACCAATAGTGAAAGCAAAATGTGCATAATTTAATCTAATTCTGCAATTTTGCTTAGACATACCTAGAGCACAGCATCCATCTTTACTTGAGACTAAGCCCGGATTACTTTAGTGTAGAGTTTTGGTTTTTATCTTATTTTTGTTCTATATTTACAACCTTGAATGTACACACCCCTAAGTGCTAATCCTCAGAGCTTGGAATGTTGGGTTGTAAACATTAATTTGTCAAAGTTAACAATTAGAAATTGGGAAATTAACTCATTGATATCAAGAAGTAAAACTGAAAACACTAAGCTCATTAAAGTGCCATTATTAACACATTTAAATTAATTTACATTTGTGTATGTGTATCTTTTGATTCAAGTATTTTCTGACCATCTCACATCAGATTATTTAATTTTGACATGTACCATACTTTTCTTGTACACGACCCCCCCAATGTATAAGACGATCCTCTAATTTTAACCCTTGCCAAAGGAAGAGGAGCAGTCAATGGGCAACTGCTCCACCACCTCCATCTCCTGTTGCTGCCCGATCACCTCCTCCATTGTGACTGCCGGGGCTCACCTCCAACTTACGTCGCCGCCCCCTTGTCCCCTGCCCAAAGCGAGCGCTGGAGGAAGCGATGCAGCGGCAGCAGCAAGAGGCGCCCGAGCGCTCCTTTGTCTCTGCCTGCCTTCCGTGTATAAAACGGCCCTCCATTTTCCCTCTATTTTAGGAAAAAGTGCTGTTTTATACATGGAAAAATACAGTATTTTAAAAAATATGTTTACTGTTATTTTTTTAAAAGGTGAGTTCCAGCCAGCGCTTGCCTAAGTTAATCTGTTGGACTGCAAGTTCAGTTAAAGTCCAACAGAGTAACTTGTCCAACTTCTGCTTATGGTTGTAGCCGGGAAGACTGAGGTCACTGCAGTGAACAATCTTGTGTTGTCTTTCTCAGGTGGTAGATGCAAGGGCTGGACCAAGTCTTAAAACAACACTAAAGCCAAAGAAGATGAAGACTCTTCCAGGCAGCAGGATGAAGAGCAACCAGATAAGCAAGTTGCAGAAAGAGCTGAAGCGGCACAGTATGTTGATCTTCCGTGTTTTTCCATTATTGGGTGTTTCACATTTTCTACTGTAGTTAATGATATATATATATGACTGACTCAACCATAAATCACAATGGAAAGTGTGTAATTTTTGGACTAAAGTTCCCATGACTCCTCAGCACTGGCCATGCTGACTAAGACTTATGTTAGTGGCAGTCCAACAATATCTCATGGGCCATAAGTTTGCTGTCCTTGCTACACAAGAACACTAACCACAAAATCATGAAAATTAAATAGGAAAGCTAGGTTTACTTTTTATGCTATACAGTGGTGCCTCGCTTAACGGGCGCCCCGTTTAACAATGAAATTGCATAGCGACGAAGATTTTGCAATCGCATCGCGATGTTTTAAATAGGAAAATCGCTTTGCAGTGATCGGTACCCTGTTTCGCTTACCAATCATCGCAAAGCGATGGTTTTTTAACAGCTGATTGGCGGTTCCAAAATGGCCGCCAGGTAAAAAAAATGGCTGCCCGCTGTTTTCTGGGACGGATTCCTTGCTTACCGGGCAGCGAAAATGGCTGCTGTATGGAGGATTTTCGTTTAAAGGTGAGTCTGAAGCCCATAGGAACACATTGAAGGGGTTTCAGTGCATTCCTATGGGCTTTTAAATATCGCATAGCGACGAAATCGCTTTGCAGCGATTTTTGCTGCACCGATTATCGTCGCTATGTGAGGCACCACTGTATACCATACTGTATGTTTTACATCTAGCTTTTTTGTGCCAGCCAGCTGACTGGCTATCACTGGACAACATTTGAATTTCAATTTAGTGGTGAATGCTATTCCAAGCATAAAACTAAATTCAACCAGCCCGAAATGATTATGTCACTGGGACTAAAAAAAAACAAACTCACAATAGCACTTCTAGATTTTCTTTCCAACAGAAAAAGTAAGATTTAGATAACAAATCTGGATACAAGAGGACTCTTTTTGTGGTTTCAGCATTCAGAGAAAACTCCCTCTACATTTTCCTTTACAATAGAAGTTCTCCACGAACACCAGGACTGCCTTGCTGCTGCTGAATTATTGTCTGTCCTGCTGACTTTTTACAAATGACTCTTTTCACTAATGCTCCTTGGAGAAAGGACTGCTGGGATGTATGCTTATGTGTATCCCTGATTTTTATGCATCATATGCAGCCCTCTTAGGCATCCTGGCTCTTAAGTCATATGGGTTAGAAATGCAGCAACATGGTTGGTTTTGCTTGTGAATGAAAGCTGAGATTCTCAGACTGCACAATAGCCCAGAATCCTGTAACATTTTAATTTTTTGGTTTTCCAATAAACGTGTGTATCTGTGTGAACCTAGCTTAATGCAACAAGCATCTCCACTCTTGCAGACTCTGATGCCCACAGCACCACCTCAAGTGCCTCTCCTGCCCAGTCACCCTGCTACAGCAACCAGTCTGATGATGGGTCAGACACCGAAATGACCCCTGGCTCCAGCCGCACACCTGTCTTCTCCTTCTTGGATCTTACCTACTGGAAAAGGTGAAAGCAAGATGATGTCCAGAATCAAATCTATGCACCCTTATAAGCCTAGCAGCAGTCCGTATTATTTATAAAGCTCAATTAGCGGGCCTTGTGCTTTGCGATCAGATTATTTTTAAACATCTATACAACATTTCAAGCAAGACTCTTCAGATTTAGATGAAGGGGGAGGTAAACACAGGGAAAGACAGAGGTTAAAAACACACATAATTACAATAAAATGTAATCTTAATTACAAGGCTCTTTTCCTTCCGTTCCCTCAGCAATTAAGGAGCCGTTGCAGAGAGCTGATGACTCAACATGGTGCTTAAGGAAGTAGATAAAGTAACTGGATACCATGCAGGGCATGAATTGGGTCACAAGACCTCTTGTTGTCTTGAAAGCAAAGCCATAGCCTTGGGGCTTTTTTCCTCCTAGAATTAATTCCTGTTCGCAGAGAATTGATGGATGCTGTGACAGTAGCCAGCAGTCGGTATTGATCTTGAAATGTCGCTCCTGCTTTAGGACGAGCTGTTTGGTGCATATGTGGTGTCAGCTCAAATGCTTGCCTAGTCTAGCAGGAATGCCTGCTTTATAACAGGAAAGTAATTGATGGTATTCACTGCAACAGTGGTGGCAGTTTGCCTTGATTTGGCAGCTTAAAAAGGGAATTATGCAAAATCACAGAGAGCATTTGACTTGTCAGACCCGGTTCCTGTCAAACCAAGGGAAGGGCGGTATGAATGCAGTCTGTAACCTTTCAAGTCCCAGGCTGAACCCATGCTCTGGAGTCAAACGTGGAGTTAGAGATGATATCAGAATGCTGAACAGGGATCAACAATCAGAGCATGCTATACCAATTTTATAACAACTGCTTCCAGAATCGGTTAGAAGTACCAACACTGACTTAGGTTAGCTTGATCCCAAGCTGCTGTGGGCTTCCGAGAACCCACTTTTTGCTCATATGGACATGCCCGGACCTTAACACCAACTTCAGAACTCTGCTTTGTGTTATGAAAATGTAACGAGTGAACCCTAGGCCCAGCATTTTCTTCGTGTTCACAGTTATGGACTGCCATTTGTGAGGTGATTTATTGTAGTACTACTTTCCTGCTTTTTAAACAGTGAAGCACTTTATATTTTTGGTGGGTATTTTTAAAACAGTTCTGTTAATTTAGTTTGATTCTTGTTTCTTGCTATAATAACATTTATGCTTTACGAATTTGCCACTGGATCTTTGATTGTTTAATGAATATACATTAAATATATATTTCTAGAGTATCTTATGGTAAAAGAAGATAATCTTGAATGATTTTTTTCCCATCTTTCTCCTGAAGGCAAAAAGTTTGCTGTGGAATTATTTACAAAGGTCGCTTTGGAGAAGTCCTTATAGACACTCATCTCTTCAAACCCTGCTGTAGTAATAAAAAGTCCACAGCCGAGAAGCCTGAACTGCAAGGCCCTCAGTCCCCAACCATGTCCAACCAAGAAGAGTGGTGACTTCCACAGCTAACTGCAACTGACGTAGGTGGAACCCCTTGCTCTCTCTCAAAATGCTTGAAAGTCAACTGCTCCTCACTTTGGAGGCTTGCTATGCTGCCAAAAGACTGATTTTTCTCCTGAACTCCTTAAGGATTTTTTTAACTGCTTCAGTTCCACTAATTCAGAATCCTGTTCTTATCTCTTCAGAAAAGACTGTAAATATTTAAGATGTGCTAAAATTCCTTGTTGAGCTGAATGCTGCTGCATGCCACCTCTGTTCAGCCTCTTTCCCCTCACAACTGTTCCTCACATGATTGACCATGAGGTTGGTAAAATATGTATGTAGCATGTATTTCTGTCAGAGAAGCAGTAGTCACATTTGGTATGTTAAAATTTTAGCCAGTCACTTTTTGTTTCCTCCCTGTGAGGAAAATAATAATTGTTACTCTACAGCATAGATTTACATACTAAAGTTTGTACAGAATTTCCTTACTATGTATATGTTGTAAAGGTGGGGAGCTCTTAATTCTTACTACTGATGTTTGAACAGTGCTGAGGAACAAGGTCAAGCTGATATTTTTGGCCTACTAAAAGAGTGTGTTTGAAGGGAAAGAGAGAGATGATCAGCGTTAGGCAAAGTTAATGAGTTCCAAGGTTGGTCATACAGAGGAGGAAATGACTTCGTACTGGACCAAGCAATCTTTCTTCCTACAAAATGTGGCCCATGCATGATTTATGGATGCAGATTACAGAATTTTTGGGGGGAGTCAGGAATTCCTTTGTAGTAATTTAGACCAACGTTTGCAAATGTCATGTTTGCTCATCTTGTAGCATTATAAAAGGCAAACATTCCATACCGTTTCCGGTTCTTATTTGAATACCAGTTATGTTTTCTCTGATTTAGGATCAATTAAGCTTCAGCCCTGTACCCACATACCTGGGAGTAAACCTTGCTGAGCTCAGTCACGGTATCAGAGGATTTTTTTTATTTTTGGACCACATCTCCCAGAACCCCTCAGCCATGTTCAATGAAGAGTTCCAGGATTTATGATCCAAAAATTTAACATTTTCAGGGTCTGACTTACGAAACAGATCAGTGTGAGATCACATTTTAACTGCACAATGTCTCATTGTTTTCAATGAGTCTCATAGAGTAGTCTCATAGAGTAATAAAACATAGAAAGAAAACAACCATAGAACCAATTATTTGTAGGAACAGCAATCTGTTTAAAACGACAGAATAGCCAGGGAGCCCACTGTTCTGCCGTCCTAACCAAGCGCCTGAACAGCAGTGACATGGTAATCATTCTTAATTATAACAGAAAACCAAGTGCTAATGAAAGTTCAGAATCCTCTTCTTCCTTTGGTTCTGTGCTGACTTTGCTGATTACATATCCGGAACAAAAAAAACGGCAATGATTAATCCCTCACTTGTGCACAATGACATGGTATGACCAAAGCAGAGAGAGGTCTAAGTGTATGCTGCATGTTAGCAGAAGTGAGGGTTCCCACTTCAGATACATACTATAAAATGTGTGTATAAAAGGTATGCATTTAACACAGCATCAAATGGGTGCATAAACAACTATAACATTTCTTTTCTGTACTCTTAACCTGTAGCACTGTTCCCAGACTGGAGGGGGCTTCTAATGTGTTGGACTACAATTCCATCCTCCCCCCCCCTCCATGTATAGTCTGTCTGGTGGGCCTCCAAATTGGGGAAGACTGAAGGATAGTGCTGCCTTCTAAGGCTACATCATGAACAGACTCTCCCCCACCCCCTTGACTTAAATTCATGTGTCAGTCCAATTTAACAGGGGCAAATCCAGCCTGGAATAAACATTATTTCTTTTTCATTGAGCCTTATTCCAAAAGCCCGCCCCCCGTGAGCCATTCCTGTTATACCTCTCCTCCTTCACATCTCCCCTCTAAAGTGCCTTCAGTCCTTTTTTAACCACTCTTCACGTGCCCAACAACCGATACATCCTTACTGGGGCCACTCATTAAATCGTCTTTGCATCACTGCATTAACTGACCAACACACAGACATGTGACGCGCCTGGCGATTTCTCCCAACAGATTCATACATGTCCTGTGACAAAGGCCTCTCCCATAGTTCTTTTTTTTTTTAAACATTATTTTACTGTTTGGGCTGAGAAAGAGATTTTTTTTTGACAGTCACTATAGTAATAGCTTCAGGATTTAATAAGGGGCTTAATAACATCAGGTGTTTTTTTTTTCCTGAAGCTCAGCAAATATAAGGGCTAGCAATCTGTTTTGTTTTTTACTGAGTCCAGTGAAAATTTCCGTAAGATATGTAGTGTGTGTCTGCTTCTAGGGGCGATATAATGGCCTCTCCAGGAAGTATACGGTCGCTTTGTAGTTCACATAGTTTTTATCCTTTTACGGTGAAAAGGTGAGAATTTCAACCTGCTTTCTGCAGTGCACTACTACACAAACATGCCTGTGGGCTTTTTAAAAAACTTTTTTTTGTTGTTGAACCATGAATTCATAGGTTGATGTATCAGGAAAAAAAATGTGAAATTGAAATACTGTCTTCCTTCATTTTTTTTAGGGTTCCTTTTTTGCTCTCTTTCCTGCTGTAAATAGGAGAAATATTCTAAAAGGAGGATAAAATAGATCTTTATTTGTAACTGACTAGCTACTTAGCAGTTTTGCTGGGTTGGTAATCTCTGAAGAATGCACACAAAAGTCGAGAATGTTTTCATTGTCTCCTTATTAGCACACATTTTGTTTTAGTTGTTTTTTAAATGGCCAATGATTCTATGCATTTACAGCTGCAGTGTGAAACCATGTGCTATATAATATGGATCATCTCCTCTACTTCTGTATTTATTTATTTATTACTACAACAGCAGACTGTGTTTCCCTCTGCCCCCCTCTTTTTCCTCCTCCTTCCTGAGTAGTAATGCAAGATGAATTGTATGTAGTTATGCACTTTGTATTAACGTAGTAGAAATCTATGGAACCTGTTTTTATACTTTTTTTAATATTGTTTATACACTTGTAATCCAAGCTTTTTTAAAAAAGAAACTAGGGTGATTAATAAAGATTTTAGGCTTATTTAGAAAAAAATATATGTTTTCTTTCTGTTTTTCTAAAGTTTCTGTTGGGTTTTATTGGTCTAGTCTTTGGATAGGTATTAGCCCCAGAAATGTGGGTGGAAGCTCTAGGAAAGCAGTGGCTATGGGAGGCTTTAGTGCTGATGCCCTCTTCCAAGAAGGCGTGGTATTATCTTGCAGAGATGGGATGGGAAGGGCAAAGAAGGATTTAAGTGGTATTTTAAAAAATAATTTAGGTTGCAGTTCTATAGGGCAGATGAGTGAACACTTTTGGTATAACAATTGTTTGGTATTGTGGCGTAGGTATGTTTTTGCAATTCCAAAATATTTCCTAATCACTGTAACAGTGAAGTTAAGAGTGTGGCCTAAATGGGGCCCTGGTTTAGGTTTATTGCATCATAATATTTTTAGCATGGATTAATGAAAAAGTAACTTTTTTACACAGATATTCTTACTTGCCAACCCATTATCATGTTTGTTTTGTTTTTAAACTTTTCGCTGTCACCATAAGGAATATGGAGGATTTTTAATATATAATTTTACTTAATTTATGTATCAAATTTTGCTTACTACATAGGATCCTGAGGTCTTCAAGTGGTTTGCAACTGGTTTTCTAGAATTTCTAACACGGCCTTTATTAAGCTAGCCCAATGATGACTGCTAGAACATGCATTACATATAATGCCATAAATTAAACTGCCCAGCCTTATTGATCAGGGGCAGGGTGGGGGACATTAATTCCCCTTTTTAACTACCAGTACCATCTTCCTGTCAAGATTTTAGACCCACGGGGACTTCAAGCTGATTCAGTTGTGATGTCCTCATGTCTTGGTGTTGCAAATCCAATGAACAAGCAAAGTGTAAGTTTCAATGAACTTAATGAGACTTTCTTCTGAGTATATACACATTGTTAAGACTGTAAAGACTGTATGGAAGCAAAACCATAAAGAAGTCTGACCGCCGAAGAATTGATGCTTTTGAATTGTGGTGCTAGAGGAGACTCTTCAGAGTCCCCTGGACTGCAAGGAGAACAAACCTATCCATTTTGAAGGAAATCAACCTGGAGTGTTCACTGGAAGGACAGATCCTGTAGTTGAGGCTCCAATACTTTGGCCATCTCATGAGAAGAGAAGACTTAAAACCATAAAGAAGGCTGACCGCCGAAGAATTGATGCTTTTGAATTGTGGTGCTAGAGGAGACTCTTCAGAGTCCCCTGGACTGCAAGGAGAACAAACCTATCCATTTTGAAGGAAATCAACCTGGAGTGTTCACTGGAAGGACAGATCCTGTAGTTGAGGCTCCAATACTTTGGCCATCTCATGAGAAGAGAAGACTCCCTGGAAAAGACCCTGATGTTAGGAAAGTGTGAAGGCAAGAGGAGAAGGGGCCGACAGAGGATGAGATGATTGGACAGTGTCATTGAAGCAACCAACATGAATTTGACCCTACTCCGGGAGGCAGTGGAAGACAAGAGGGCCTGGCGTGCTCTGGTCCATGGGGTCACGAACCGGACATGTCTTAACGACTAAACAACAAGAAGACTGTAAATGTATTTGTTCAACATTATTAAGCTCTTTCTATAAAAGTGTTCTAACAGTCTTCCATTAGTTTGACTATGGTAGAAAGAATTTTTACATTGGAAGTGTTTCTTCAGTCTGGAGAAAATTGAACAGGCATTTAATTAGGCAAAGTTTTTTACTTCAAAATAAATCATGTTCTAAAACTAGATAGCTATAAGAATATATTGAATACCTGGACAAGAAAGCTATGCATAGTTTTTGACACATAGTTCTTGAATAAAAAGCAGGTCTCTGACAGCCTTTGAGAGCCTCGGTATCCTGTTTAATGTACTCCCTTGAAATCTGTATATGATCACTGAGGCCCACAAGATGGAGTTGCTTGCATAAGAAATCCCCAAAGCTTCAATGTTAAACTTATCATTGCATTTAACTCCAGCTAAGTGGTCACAGCATTCCACTTCAACCTCATTCTAAGCCAACATTGTTTTGTTAGAAATTCTGCAGAATGGGCCACACCAAGATTGTCTAATATTTATTCACCTCATTGTCTCTCATAGTTTGAAAATCAGTGTTCTCCTAATGTGAGTCTGGAAATTGGTAAGGCTTTCAAGTCATGATTCTGGAATTAGGTTTTGGTGCGAACCCTAGGACAGGGGTCCCCAACGTTTTCCCAACCACGGACCAATTGGAGAGGTGTGTGGCACACCTGCAGGGGGGCAGAGCTTGGGCACATGCACATGTGCTTGCAGGGGGGTACTTGTGCACAAGCACACGGCACGCTCGGGCAGAACGTACTTGCGCGCATGCGTGCGACAGTGCTCGCAGGGGAGTAGGAGATCTGTATCCGTGGCCCAATCCTGGATGGGCCGCAGACCGGGGGTTGGGGACCTCTGCCGTAGGATATCAGCTCCTACTCGTGTCTTTTTTCACTGACCGAAAACAAGACAAGAAAAAATAAAGGATGGATCACGAGGTAGAATAAGGGCAGGTTGCTTACCTGTAAGTTCTTCAAATGCTAATCTGTTAATTCAAGCATTTGGGTTTTCTCTGCGCCTATGTGGAGACCTTTAGAACATTCTAGAGCCTGAAATAGTTAATTCATACTCCCTCCAATGTGCGTACTCCCCACCCCCTCCTGCTGATTCTCAGTTCCCCCAGTCTGCCGCTGGTAAAGATACATGAATCGTGTGGCAGACTAACGGGAGGATGGGTGGGTTGTGTGAATTGACACATGACCACTCGAAGAACTACAGTTACAGGTAAGAAACGTTGTCAATGGTATGTATGAATTACACTTACAGATGACTGGCAAGCTCACTTGCTAACTCATGGGATGTCACATCAAAACAGAAAAAATGACTGCTCTTGTCAAACCTAGTGTCTACGAGCTTTGCCCTGACATTCAATCTGTAGTGCTTGAATAATGTCAGAGGTGGGGACCATGTTGCTGCTTTACAAATGTCTCTTAATGGAACACCTTTAAGAAATGCCATTGAAACAGCAGCTGCTTTAGCTGATCACTCTTTCAAAATGGTGGCACTGGTTTCTT